TAACGTGTGTTGTCCTTGATTGCTGCTGAGCCAATCATTTTAAAATTTCTTGATTTTTTTTTGAAACAAGAGAAAACATTTGATATTTAGTGCAGGCAAAATTGCAGCAGCCTGGAAACATGGAAACCAGCAATGGAAATGAACCAGAAGCAAATCCAACCATTTAAAAGGCTCTGCATCCTTCAAAAGTATTTTTGTATTTGGGTGTTTTACACATTAACCGCCATCTTTGGTAGAATGTGTACGCAAAGTGTTAGGTTGACTAATAAATGGTCAACTTATTTTTTTTGTTTTTTTCCTGTATGAACTTCCTGTTTTTTGCCATTCAGACCACATAGCATTTTGCGCCTGCTAGTGTGAAACTGGACGTGCAAACCTGTCACACTTCAGCTGAGGTTTACAGCAGACTATTTTTTTTATCAGAATTTAGATTTCAAACAACACTCGAGTAACTTCAGTACATAAACAAAAAGATTTTTTCTTTTCTTTATATATATATAAATTAAACATGTCTGCCAAAACAAAAATATCAGAAAATGTTTCCACTAATTATAACTTTATTTTGTCTTCACCTGCTTTAAATAATCACAACAGTTGAAATTCCTTTCATCTTTAAGCCAATATTCTTTTATCAGTTTATGTTTTGTTTATGACTTAGACTCGATGTATACACAGAGTGTATACAAAACAATTTTTGTTTAGTACAGCTTTTCAGACAGTAAATGATCACTTCCATTCCATAAAGTGCAGCAGTGATCAAATATAAACAGTTACAGTATGATAGATGATTTCTGTTTTTGCCTTTTTATATGGCGATTCTAGCAATCCTATACACTGGCGTGTGGATCTCATGAAATGTGGCATCAAGTTTGATTTTTGTGACTTGTTTATTTTTTCTTCAGGATCAACAATATATTTTCTAAAAACGCTTTAGTACAAATTGGTGTTGATGTAGAGCAGCAAGCAACTTATTCAGCATCTATAGGAAATGAATGCATTAAACATATGAGAAAAGAAACTGAAAACTGTCTGAAAAGGAGGAGATCGTAGACAGTGTTCTGGCTAACTATATATGGCCAACCTGGGGTGGCATTTTTACACAGGTGAGATATGCATTTATTATTTATCTAGAAGCAGTTAGTGTCTAAAATGGCTTTTTAGTGGTTACTACTATGATTTAATATAATATATAAATCTTGTTATATAAAAAAAATATAAGTAAAGAAATGCAGACACAGACATGCTTTTTGCAACTTAACATCCGCAATGACGACTTGAGATGCCAAATGCATTTCTTTGGCTTTAAGCTCATCGTTTTAAATATTTGACACTGTGAGCTGTGTGCTGCAAGTTATGTTTGGTGAACAGTGCTTACAACAGTCTTGAGCCAGTCTTCAGAGTAGGATGTAAGACCACAGAGATAAGAACAGTTACTGAGGGCTGCAAATACCCTATATTGCATGAATGCTTAGCAGATTTGTACTGCAAGTACGAAAATGAGGTCTGCAAACATAAATATGAGACTGATTAGCTGAGAGGAAGAACTATCCTGACAAAATTTGTACTTGCAAATTGAAACTCACATTCAAGTTAAAGACCTAAAGCATAGCATTTTACATGTAGATTTTGGATTAGTATCAGTAAACAGATCTTGAGCGCAGTGTTTTGAAAATAGATTTTTGCTCCATATCTGTAAAAAATCCTTGAAGGTCAGATATTCAGAAACACTAAGGTAATGCTAAAAACACTCTTACCATTGAGATCAGATGGAAACAGGCAGGCTCAGTGGTTGAGAGGGAGAACAAGTCAGGAACAGGAAATCACAAACACCAAGAAACTCTAAAAACACTCTCACCTCTGGCTAGAGAGAACAAGAAAAATCTGGCCCTGATGACTGGATGCAAGCAGTTTAAATAGAGGTAGGAATGGACAGGAATGAAATGAGCAGCTAGGCCAGTCATCAGTGCCAAGATCATGACACAGCTAGTATATGTTCTTCCTAAGAGTTCGGTCCATAGACATAAATTCACTTTAATGTCTATGGTCAAGTGTCATATAATTGAGGATCTTCTCCCCCTAATGGCCCAGAGTAAAAAGCATGCAAAGGAAAAATGCTGAAAATATCAAACACAACTGCAAGTTAAGAAGAGCTTTCAAAACAGCTCTTCTTAACTTGCAGCTGTTTTTGATATTTTCAGAATGTTTAATTTGCCTGTATGTTGGCATCAGTAATGTATTTGCAGCAGGTTTTCTTGCTTGCGGCACTTTCCGTTGGATGTGTTAGCCTGGTAAACCCCTGCATTCTGTGTTTAATAGTTACTTGTGTTACTTGTGCTCTAAAAACTCTTATCTCAGCTTGAACTGGAGGTCTAAGACTCCCGTCTTTTAAAGTCTGATTTATACTTGGAAACTAGGTCATCTGCGTAGGTGTCACGGTGAACGCAGACATGTCTCCGCCCCTTCCGCTGCACCTCTCCCAAATTGTGGGCGACCGTAGAAAGTGCCGCAGACAGTGCCTCTGATTGGTCAAATCTACGTCCACTCTACTCGTGTGTATTTCCTGTGTGGTACTTTACTGGCTTGTTTTGTTTGTATGAATGCCATTGCGGAAAATGAATCGTGAAATTGGACCAGCTAGGAGAGTAAGGTGCGCGAGAATTCTTTTTACCCCTATTTTTGGCCCTCATGTCCCTCAGTTGTTGGACAAACCTGCTACAACTTCCTCATCACCTCGGCTATATCTAGACCCACAGCTAGTTTGTGATTGTCCCTCTTGCTTTGTGGTGTGGAATAACATAGCGCAGACCACACTTCAAAATTGAGCATAAATCAAAAATGTCTATGTCAAACCTGTGACAAGCTCACTGTGACACACTGCTGCTGGAATATAACCAGCTCTAAAGAATATCTTTGTTAGAGAATAGAGGGGCAAATTAACAGTTTGAGTTACCAAAGTTAATACAAATTATAAATGATGAACATGCAGGTTTCAATTTATAGAGTACAGTAACCTAATGTTGCATGTTATTCTCAGCCTTGATTTGGCTCTTTAATACTTCATCAGTTCCAATGCTTTGTTATAACCAAAAAAGTGATTAATTCAAGGAGTAGTAGCAGGTAGTTGTAAAATAGTTTTTCTTTTTTTTTGGTTGCCTTAAGCAACAGTAGGACAGTTGTGTCACCTGATTGCTGCAAATAACTCAGTTTTGTGATCAGCTATGCACATGGAATATATGTTGGAATTCTAACATGACAAGGATCCTCGAGTACTTTACCTTGAATTTACATAAAAAAAGACAGAGTCAGTCCACAGGACTGAATAAAGCCAAGTAAGATGAGCATCTGATTTATGCATTACCATGAACCACATTTAGACCTGTCAGTTTTTACCATAAAGTTGCTGTAAACATTTTCTGTCACATAGTTAACAACTGCTCTTTCTCTAGAAAGGTAACAATGATTGGGGTAAATAACCAAAAAAGTTTCAATTCCAGGTGTAAAATTTCAATAAATTCAAGTTTGTGTTGCAAATATTCTAGATAGTAACCAGGAGATAGCGCTCTTGCATTTAGAGGACATCTGAGTTCAGTGACCAAAGTAGGTCTTCTCTGTACACTAAAAAAGACCAAGTTACTTAGTATGTTAAAATAATCTAAATTGACTCCTTTTAATGAACTAACTTACCAACTCATGACATGTTTACTGTCTCCAGAGTGACCAAATGATTTCTGTTTCTTCTTCCTTAGGGTGAAGAAAACTCAAATGTACAGAAGTCTTCAGCAACCAACAACAGATCTCTACCAAACAGTTTCTTCTGGTCACCATCAACAGGAAACAGAAAGAACCTCAGCAGGAAGCAGAGTAACTGTGAACAGAAACTATGAAATCTATGAAAACCTTTGAAGAAAAACTATCAAAATGGAAATCTTGATAAGCCTTAGTGAGCAAAATCAATCAGAGGATGGTTATACTTCTTCACTGATTCAGTATTTTTATGCTCCTGTTTGTGTTCACAAATTCTGTCCAAATCTTTTAATACAAAAAGTTTTCATTGCACAATCAATAAAACGTCTTATCACTGCAGTAGCAGCATCTTTGCAAACTGCTAAAGATGACTGTACAAAGACATTTCCTGTAGAGATCAGCCTCATTATCAGACCAGTATGTTGCTTTAGCAGGTAGTTGATGGACACCACACCTAAAAAGGGTTAAACATTTGGCTTTGAGCAGCTCAAACTATATCTTTACCACAATAGACGTCCGTAAACCTGTTTATGCATCTATCTTTTCAGCTTTCCCTTTTTAATTGTGTTGTTTAAATCAATGGAATCATAGATTCTATACAACCTGAAAAAAGTTTTATGTGATTTTCCTTTTGTTCCATAATTTGCATATTTCTTTGGACAACTTTTACACTTTTTTTCACTCAAATTATCTTGAATTAAAGGATTTGTCCTCTTTCCATCTGAATTTGTTTTGTGTGTTTGTATCTCACTTTCTTGGCATTTCTCATGGCTAATTTTAATTTTAATTATTACTGTAAATAATATTTTTTTGTAATTTGCTTTTTTTATTTATAAACATGGTTCTGTTAAAGTGACAAATTAGGAAGTGGTCAGTGACATCATCTACATCAGCCTGCAGGAGGTTGATTTCTTCTCCCACCAGAATGCATTCAGCCCTTTTCATAGTTAAGACCACAAAGCAAACATGACATTTACATCTTTAGTCTTTTGAACCCACTTTGGTTGCATAACACAAGACAAGCAGACCCCCATCTCTGTAGTGTGACCTAAGAACTCAATCTCTGTTCTTCATTATTAATATTGATAGTCAATTATTTGGGTTTTAAGCAAGCTATTGACCAAACAGGACAATTACTGCAAACTGTAATAATCAAACTTGCAGAGATACCTCCAGATTATAAATCTTATTCTTTAATGAGGAGTGCTCATGTAGAGACTTTTTTTTTTTTTTTTTAAGAATAACGTCACATCCTTTTGTGCCATTTTCTGAGATGAAAATATGTGGCTCGGTTGAGGGTTTAAGGGGTAGTTTAGACAATCTTTCTTTAGTGCAGCAGTTTAGATGGATGCAGTGAGAATCAGCCTTTTATTGCTTCTGCCATTCTTTGCCTGCTCTGAGGACAGTGAAGGTAAGAACAAAAGTAATAAAGAAACCATTTAACTTGAAGTTGCGCTTTAAGTTGTGAACTTTTAACTTTTATTTTCGTTTTACTGAGTATAATGAGATACTAATCTATTTTTATGATTTTAACTTATTCATAGATATTATATTTTACTGTTTACAGTGACTCTTGTGAAAACAGTCGGGAATGAACCAGATCTTACTCCACTCTGCAACAATGAAACATCGAATAACATCATGCTCATAGTGTGTAGAATCAGAACAGAGAGAAACAAAGGAGAGGAGTGCAGTCTGCTGTACAGGGAAGGAGGCGAGTTTGTCCATCAGTGTGACTCCAGATTCACCCTCAGAACATGGAATGACACTGTGTTTCTGCACTTGACCAATTTAACAGCAGCTGATAGTGGGAACTACACCTGTGAGTGTTCAAATATTGATGGAACCTATATTCACCATCTCAATATAACAGTTAAAGGTAAGCACTTACTTTAAATGACTGAATAAAACTTAAATTTAATAGCTCCTCTGCAACACTGTTGTTCCAAAAAAAAAATATATATATATATTTTCTAAAGATAATGGAGAAGATGACATTTGGGAAGTTTGGAGTCATTATTCAAGAGTGATCCTTCTTTCTGCTCTGACTGCTGCAGTTATTTTTATACTTTTGGTTATTCTGGGATTTTTCCACAGAAGATGTTACAATCGGTAAGAAACATTCAATATTCAAAGCTTTGATTTTATTTATTTTTTTTTTTTACTTGCATTGATTTATTGAAATTATATTGATAGGTACATTTTTGTTTTAATGATGAAAGTTTCATTATAATCAAACTTAATGAGGCTAACGCAGATTTAATATCAACTCTATGTGATGAATAAAGGAAAGGATTATTAGCTTATTATTACCTGTCTTCTTAAACAGGCAGTGATAATGATCTGCATATCTGTATTGGAAATAAAATGCATATTGTATTTCTTAACAGAGAGGAACCAGAATCACCCACTTACAGTCCAAATGAGGTAAAATACACAATACATAAATGCAGACCTTTTAATTATTCATATACTAATATATTTAAACTCCCCTTTCTTTATGTCTTGTTCTGCAGGATTTGGTTTTAGTTGAGCCATACAGCACCTTCATTCAGAAAGAAAATGTACTTTATTCAACAGCCTTATTGCAAAACTATGAAATCAGTTCTGAATATCATAATACCCTGACTTAATTCAAAGATGAACATCTTTCTATTGAACAGAGACATACAATCTTTGTTTTCCTCACTACCTGACCTTAAGTAACATTAAATGAGATGAAAGTGAAATTGTTACAGATTAGTTTTATTTTATTAATTTAATGTTTTTATAAATCTTTTAAAATTCAGAATATAATATATCTAAATTATTATGCCTTTAAACTTCTTGAGAAAGACCACTTAAAAAAATAGTTAAAGGTATAGAGGACAATCTTTCATTTCCGGGTGGAAATATCTAAATAAGTGGTCCTCCTAATTGTCAATCATTCTGGTGATATGTTTACCTAAGGCTGTCCTATGTGCTAGCCCTGTCAGCTAACTTTTTCTGAGCATAGTTTCAGGTATATATCTTTGTCATTGAAGCTCACCTTTCTGTCTTTAGTTCTTTGAAAATGGCCGAGGGTCGTAAGAAAAAAAGTGTCTACGAAGTGTATGAGAAGAAAAGAAAATCCTCAGAACAGGCAGATATATCTGCGGAGAGCTCTCCATGCAAAGCATTATGGGATTTTCTGTCACAGCGGCATAGGCTGTCGCTACCCGACAGCGGCGACTAATAACAAAGATGGCGCAGTGGAAAGGGCGGGTCTTTCAAAAAATTTGAGAAAATCCTCCAAAATACCTTTAATGCGTCTTTTGTATCTACTTAAGCATATTTAGTTACTTGAAAACTGTTTTTTCATGTTAGCAAAGTGGTACATGAAACACTTGTTCATGAAACTTGATAAGTTAATTAAATGAGGATGCCATGTCTTTTTAAGCTTTTAAAGGTTTAATTCATAATATCTTAGTTGCAGTCAATGGATACCTGTGGTTGTTTTAATGTATGAGGAAGTTGTTTTAATGTAATGTATGCCTCAAACACGCTGTTTCTGTTTGGCATAATTGACAAAAAAAACAAACAAAAAAACATATATGGAAGAATGGGTTTGCATTAGTAAGAAGTATCTAAAGTGAAACAACTCCTTGATCGAGATTGGCTAAGGGGGCCAGAAAGTCAAGAACAAGCAATAATATCATAAAAGCATGAAAAGACAGATTAGATTGCAAATATACTCGAGGTTAGGAAGTCAGCCTTTGAGCCTTTTCCTTTGGTCTATCAAAGCTACTGTGAAGTTGAAGTCTTTGGCTATAATGATGATCGACGCACTCAGAGGAAAAAGAAATAGCTTGCAATCCCAAGAGCACCATCCTAACCATTGGAGTATAATTGTGGCAGCATCATGCTGTGTGTAAGTTATGTTTTAGGAATGACTGATGCAGATAATGAAACAGGTGAGCTCTATTTTTAGCTATATGGTTTTTCAGGGAACATTTTTTCATAGACTCCTTTCCATCAGAAAATGTTCAGATGATGTTTGGGGATAATCAGTAGGAGTTACACTTCCTTCTGCTCTGACTGCTGCAGTTCCTATTTCTTCAGTGCAGCACAAACAAATTAATTGCTAAGAAAATGTTAGTCATTAGTTTAAATAATGTGCGTTGCATCGATTTTCCAAAGTCTGATTGGAAATAAAAGGTAGATCTTAAAAAGCACTGCATGACAAACTGCTGAGGAACATTGATATAGATAATATATAATATATATTTGCTGTAGTATGCAAACTCATATCAGTTAGCGTACCGCAACAATATGAGCACAGAGGACGCAGTTTCCATGGTACTGCACTCTGTGCTCACACATCTGGACAATAAGAACACTTATGCACGTATGCTGTTTGTTGACTTTAGCTCAGCATTCAATACTGTCATTCCGGCAAAGTTATTAGCCAAACTTCGAGACCTGGGTATCAACACCTCCATGTGCAACTGGATTCTGAACTTCTGACCAACAGACCTCAGAATCTCCGATCAGGCTGCAACTGCTCCACGTCCATCACACTCAACACTGGTGTACCACAGGGCTGTGTGCTAAGCCCGTTTCGACTGCAAGCCTGTGTACACGTCTAACTCCATCATGAAGTTTGCGGACGACACCACGGTGATTGGTCTCATCAGCAACAACAATGAGACTGCTTATAGGGAGGAGATCGAGCACTTTGCCACATGGTGCACTGAAAATAACCAGCTCCTCAACACCACCAAAACGAAGGAGCTCATCATAGACTTCAGAAAGGATTCAACAGGCACCCACGACACCATCCACATCAATGGAATAGCTGTTGAACGTGTCTCCAGTTTCAAGTTTCTGGGGACCCACATCTCAGCGGACATGTCCTGGTCAACCAACACCCCCTGCCTGGTCAAGAAGGCTCACCAGCGCCTCTTCTTCCTGAGAACACTGAGGAATAATCAGCTCCCCTCAACTATCCTGGTGAACTTCTATCGCTGTGCAATAGAAAGCATCCTAACCAACTGTGTAACAGTGTGGCACGGAAGCTCTTCTGTTGCAGAGTGCCTCTGGACCAGAACCAGCAGTATAAAGGAGTGTAATAATAGTGCCTACAGCATAAACGATCACTATGGTAGTTTTATCTATTTGTAGATACTGCTTATTAATATCTCATCAAATAAATGTCAAAATGTATTTTTATTTCGTATTTCTTTCGTATTCCCTACTGTAACTTTGGGAATGCTGGGTATTTAGTAGCCTGTCTGCTATTTAGTTGAGTTGAAAATGCATTTAAAGTTACAATGATCATAAAGATTGGATGCAATGTAAAGGAAGTCAGGATTCTCTTATCTGTTTTACTTTGATACACAACACTCATCTTAATAAAGTAATTCTGAATCTGATCTTAGGTTTAGAAAAGCAGTTAACTAATTATCAGTATTTATTTCCAAGTTCGTATGGAAGTCAGGCCAAGTCTTTAGAATAGAATAGAAAAGAATACAAAATCCCTTTATTGTCCCACAATTAGGGAACTTTGTTGTTTACAGCAGCAGAAAGATTAAAAAAAAAATGATAACACAAATGTATAAATAAGACCTAATAACACAATAGTGAAAAACTGTGCACCTGGACAATAAATAATCAATATACAGCAATGGACATTTTTACAGTAATGGATATTTGAAAATAGCAGCAATGTCAGAGATGTGCAAAATGACAGTAGCATGTCGTTTTAATCACAAAGGTAGAAACTATGCAAAATCAGCAAGAATATAACAACTTATCGAGGTTGTTGGGAACAGTGGTGGTTATAGAGTCTTACAGCTGCTGGGAGGAAGAGTCTGTGATGCACTAAATGCACGCTCCCTGGTGCATTTAGGGTGCAGCAGTCTGTCACTGAAGGAGCTTTCCAGTTCTGCAACAGCTTCATGCATGTGGTGGGAAACATTATCCAGCAGAGATGTTCATTTAGTTAGGATCCTTTTGTTTCCCACCTTCTGTACTGGGTCCCGAGGGCATCCAATCACAGAGCTGGCCTTCCTGATCAGCTGATCCAGCCGCTTTCTCTCAGCTGCAGATAAGCCACTACTCCAACAGACAGCTCCATAGAAGATGGCTGATACCACAACAGAGACGTAGAAGGTCTTTCAGAGTGCCCCCTGGAATACAAAAGACCTCAGTTTTTTTGCACTGAGACTGTGCCTCAGTGTTGTGAGTCCAGTCCAGTTTTTTATTCAGATGAACACCTGGGTACATATAAGGGTCTACTATCTCAATGTCATTTTTCTGGATGTTCACCGGTGTCAGTGGGGTGGACCTGCTTTAAATGATTAAATCAGTAGATATTACAACTTTGGTCCACAATCCTGTGTCTGGGTATGTTGTATTTGGGTGTTTTAAACATCTTTGGCAGCATGTGTTCACTAAGTGTTAGGCTGACTAGTAAATTGTCATCTTATTTTTATTTCTTTGGTTCTTTGTTTTTCCTGTATGAACTTCCTGTTCTTTGCTACACAGACCACATAGCCTATTTCGTCTGCTAGTGTGAAACTGGACGTGCAACCCTGTCAGACTTCAGCTGAGGTTTGCAGTAGACTTTTTTTTTTTTTATCAAAGTTTAGACTACAAACAACACTTGAGTAACTTCAGTGCATAAACACTGTTTTTTTCTTTCCTTTTTATATATAGATCAAACATATCTGCCAAAACAAAAAGTTCAGAAAATGAATTAATAATTTTATTTTGTCTTCACCTGCTTTAAATAATCACAACATTTGACATTCCTTTAATTTTCAACCTAATATTCTTTTATCAGTTTATGTTTTGTTTATGATTTAGACTTGATGTATACACAGAGTTAATACAAAAAATATGGTTTTGTACAGCTTTTCAGACAGTAAATGATCACTTCCATTCCATAAAGTGCAGCATTGATGAAATATAAACAGTTACAGTATGATAGATGATTTCTGTTTTTGCATTTTTATATGGTGATTCTAGCAATCCTACACACTGGCATATGGATTTAATGAAATGTGGCATCAGGTTTGATTTGACTTGTTTAATTTTTTCTTCAGGACCAACAATATAATTTTTTAAAACTGTTTAGTACTATATTGGTATTGATGTAGAGCAGCAAGCAACTTATTCAGCATCTATTAGAAATTAATGCATTAAACATATGAGAAAAGAAACTGAAAACTGACTTAAAAGGAGGAGATCGTAGACAGTGTTCTGCATAACTATATATGGCCAACCTGGGGTGGCATTTTTACACAGTTGAGATATGCATTTATTTACAAGCAGTTAGTGTCTAAAATGGCTTTTTAGTGGTTACATCTATGATTTAATATAATATATAAATCTGGTTATATAAAAAAAATTATAGGTAAAGAAATGCAGACACAAACACACTTTGCAACTTAACATCCACAATGAAGACTTGGAAAGCCAAATTCATTTTTTTTGGCTTTAAATTCATTGTCTTAAATATTTGACACTGTAAGATGTGTGCTGCAAGTTATGTTTGGTGTAAAGTGCTTACAACAGTCTTGAGCTAGTCTTCAGAGTAGGATGTAAGACCGCAGAGGTGAGAACAGTTGCTGAGGGCTGCAAATACCCTATATTGCATGAATAGTTAGCAGATTTGTCCTGCATATACAAAAAAAAGGTCTACAAACATAAATATGAGACTGATTAGCTGAGAGGAAGAACTATCCTGCCAAAATTTTTACTTTAAAATTGAAACTCACATGCAAGTTTAAGACCTAAAGCATGGCATTAACATGTAGATTTTGGATTTGTATCAGTAAACAGATCTTGAGCACAGTGTTTTGCAAATCGATTTTTGTTCTGTATCTGTAAAGAGACCTTGAATCACAAACACCAAGGAACTCTAAAAACACTCTCACCTCTGGCTAGAGAGAATAGGAATAATCTGGCCCTGATTACTGGATGCAAGCAGTTTAAATAGAGGCAGGAATGGACAAGAAGGAAATGAGCAGCTAAGCCAGTCATCAGTGCCAAGATCAAGACACATCTAGTATATGTTCTTGCTAAGAGTTTGGTCCATAGACATAAATTCATTGTAATGTCTATGGTCAAGTTCCATATAATTGAGGATATTCTCCCCCTAATGGTCCTGAGTACCTCACTTATCAAGAGCTGGTTTGCAGCTTTTCTTAACTTGCAGTATTTTTTTTTTATATTTGCAGCATTTTTCCTTTGCATTTTGCCTGTATGTTGGTATCAATCATGTATTTGCACCAGATTTTCTTCTTTGTGGCACTTTCCTTTGGATGTGTTAGCCTCATCATTTGCAAGCCCATGTCTGGTCTTTGCAGTACTTTTTGTATTTGCTGAGCAGTTATCTATTTGTATCACATTTACACCCCTAACCAACCATTCACTTACCTCACAACCACAGATTTCAGTAGTTCGCCCTCCAGTTGCAGGGTAAACCACTGCATTCTTTGTTTACCAGTTGTTTGTTTTACTTGTGCTCTAAAAACTCAAATCTCAGCTTGAGCTGGAAGTCTAAGACCATTCTTAGAAGGTTGATTTATACTTTGAAACTAGGTCATCTGCGTAGGTGTCACAGTGAACGCACAGATGTCCCCGCTCCCTCTGTAGACACTCCGCTGCATCTCTCCCAAATTGTGGGTGACCGTAGACAGTACAGCAGACAGGAGGCCTCTGACCGGTCAAATCTACATTTGCTGTACTCATGTGGATTTCCTGTTTGGTACCTTACCGGCTTGTTTTGTTTGTATGAACACCATTGCTTGCAGAATGGAGGGGCAAAGTAGCAGTTTGAGTTACCACAGTTAATACAAATTATAAATTATGAACATGCAGGTATCAATCTATAGAGTATCCTAATGTTGCATTTTATTCTCACACTTGATTTGGCTCTTTAATACTTCATCAGTTCCAATGCTTTGTTATAACTTAAAAAGTGATTAATTCAAGCAGTAGTACAAGGTAGTTGTAAAATTGTATGTAGGTGTTTTATTTCTGACTCTATTATTCTGTATGGCAAATTACACTGTGAATCAAATTGATTGCATATTTTATGATCCAAATTATGTAGATTGTCTTCAAAAGAGATAAATTATGGTTCTAGTCCTTTTGGCTATCAACCTATTTATGATATAGGGAGACCTACTGAATAACAAAGTAGTAGCTAAAAGGAGGAGACATTTTAGAAAGAGCAAAACCTCATGCTCTTTTTCTAAAGGTCAGAGAATTTGTGGTGTAGGTTACAACGTTGCAGTACAGACATTCATATCAAAGCCCTCTCTGTTGTTAGACATCATGCTCTCTGTGGTAATACATAAGCTGCAGGTTTTTCTATTTCTTTCTTATTTTCTCTCTACTTTGCACAGCGAAGGTAATATATGTATATTTATATAATTCTTGTAAAAATGTAACATCCATATTGATTTGTTTCCTTTTTCTAGAAAGAACAGCTTTGCACTTCCTTGATGTGTTATTGCTAAGCTTCATGGGTTACTAACCTGAACAGTTTATTTTATTTATGTTTTTAAAAGTTTTGCCACTTTATTGTTTTTCTACTTTTAACTTCTGCTTTGTATATGTGGGGTGATTGAGCACATTTTATTGACTGTTTAAAAATTTAACATATATTTTTAAAATTATTTCAAAATGTTTACATTATGTGTCTACAGCATAGAAAATACATGTAATCCAACAAAAAACATAAAGAAAAACAAAAGTATGTCTAGGCCTTTGCATGATACTATGAGATATTGTAGTTACATACCTAAATTTGCTGCAAATACAAAAAGTACTGCAAACAAAAGTTTAAATCAACAAACAAAGATACAAAACAGACAGGGATATTTTGTAGTCTTAGAAAAAAGATCACTATGGTAGTGCAGAGAGTTTATGTGTTGTAATGAAAGCTACTTTCCCCTGAGGAGTGTACTTTTCTTCTTTCAACCTTGGGACTCGTAAATGATTATTGTTATCCTGGGAAAAAGGGAATGTTGCTTCGTCCAGCTTGATTGCTTCGAGAGTGGGGTGATATTTTACCTGTAGATTATAAATATACAATTAACTAGAAATGGTGGTTGTAGTGAATTAATAGATCATTCAAAATTGAGGGTAACACCAAATTAATGTTCTTTGTTGAATAGCTATAACTGTAATCTGCTTATTCACTGGGATTTTTGGTCGGTTGGCTTCTGGAACGGCTGTTAAAATCCAGTTATCCCCATCAATTTAGTGACTTTGGCTAGACTATTAGTATAGCTATTGATTACCAGCCAAAGAACTCTGTTTCTATTTATTCAAATGTTACCAAAAGGAGCGTGAGTCTGGCCTGAGTGTTAAACCACTCGATTTTACAATAAACACAAACTACTACAGGTTAAAATAATGATGTCTTTATTCCTAACAATCAAGAATATGGGAAATCTAACATCTAGGTTAACACTACACACTACTAGAAAACACACATGAAGTTAATAATTGATAATTTGGAAAGAGGGTAGAAAGGGTTGTAAGAGTCCATTTAAATGGCTTCGTCCAAGGTAGGCCAAATAGCAGCCGTCAAAGTCACAGACTGCAGTGTATAATCAACAATTGAAGAGGTGTGCCTGCGAGGAGACGCCCTCGTTCAATAGCCATAACTAACTTCTTCTATTTAAAAGCCCATCAGATTCATCTGCTGTTGCATCAGACTGATATAAGATTCTTCCGAGAATCGACCCGGTTTGGACGGACTTGTGTAGAGCTGCAACCCGAAGCTGCTCTTCCTCCTCCTTCACCTGGATTGCAAGTTGTCTCAAAGTAAAACCTTTAATTATTCCATCAGATGCTTTAAATGACGTGCTAAGCTTGGGTGAGCAATTAATTCAGGTTTTAAAGCATTTATTTGAACTTTGGACTCTCTATGCTGATGTTTAAACTGAAAGGTACAAAGATGTCTGACTTCATTGTGTGAATGATGTGGTGTGAATGAGTTTATGTGTTTTCTTTTTTTATCTTGATTTTTTTGCTTTCCCCTTTGTTCTGAGGAAGCATATGCAACCACATGTTAGGAGCACTCATTTATTGACTTCATAAGTTAAGATATCCCCATTGCATTCCAACCCTTCCCATTTAGTCACATTATCACCATCCATCAGTTCCCAGCTTGTTGCACCCCCACTCCAGACCACATGGTAGGCGACCTCGATCCTGATATGTCTTGTTGACTTTGCATCAATGCACCCTTCTCTTCTTTATCTAACTAGGCTGGCTGAGTGAGTTTTACTGAGGTGCTACAATGCTACATTGTTATTGCCTCTGTAAAGTAATCATCACAAGCTGAATGAAGTTACCTTGTTTTAACTGCACAGTTGTTATGATCATATCTGCTACTATTCCAAACTGACACTATTGAATGTATTAACATCTGGCTTATCTTGGACAATCTCAGAAGCCAGTTAAATGGACTCTTAGGATTTTTGTTCTCTTTCTGTTAAAACTAGTCATTTATTCTACCTCATGTTTATTTTCTAATAGTGTGTAGTGTTTTGCATCGATGTTAGATTTCTGCAATTCTGAATTATTAGAATAAAGACATCATTGTTTGTTTAAATTGCAGTCGTTTGTGTTTCATGTACGAATGGTTTATCATTCAGGCTATACCCACCCTCTTTTTGGTGACAGTTTGAATAAACAGAAATAAATAGTTCTTTTATTGATAATTAATAGCTCTGCTGATAGCCTAGCCTAAGTCATTAAATTGGTGGGAATAACTGGATTTCAACAGCCGGTCCAGGAGCCACCCGGAGGTGAAAGGCCCAATATCCTTGTAAGTGAGCAGAATAAAGCTATAGCTATTCAACTAAGAACACCAAATGGATTTTAACTGCAATTATGAATAAATTAAATAACGAACTACAACTTAAATTATGCATAATATACAGAATATATTATTTATTAATACAGGGCTCAGTTTAGAACCCTTTTAAATGAACCATCAGCTTAAAAAGTCTCAAAATTCAACAAAAACCTTTGCAAAAACGTGAATGTGACTACACTCGCCTATGGTACGAACTTTATTTGAGCATCAGATAAAATAATGGAAAGCTTTTACTGTGAGGGGGATGAAAAAGTGGGGGTAGGGGGAGGTCTGTCTCCAGAACCTGGTCAGTTCTTGGGGAGATTTGAATCAGTCTGAGGTAAGCAACGCTTACGGTGTCCCCGCCTCGGTGGTTCAACCGCGAACACGCTGCGAGACTGGCTCCTCAAAAAATCCTGTTTAATGTTGCAAGGCAGCTGAGTAACAAGACTGAGGCTTCCGCTTTCTTACCTGCGTTAAAACGAGTAGGCGTACAACAACACACTGCATCGGGAGCTCTGACAGCAGGAAAAGGAAGAAGCTTTGGCTTCAGAATGATCACATGTGGAATTTTCGTCTCTCCTGTCAGGCATGAGCTTGGTGGAAAAGAGAGCGAGCAATTTCCGCACGTTGGTTTTAAAGCTGTATGGGGTGGAGCGTGACAGTCATTCAGTGGTCATACTTTGACCAGACTGCAATCATTTCAGAAATGTTATCACAACAGGAGATCAAACAAAACATTACAATATACCTTATAGTATTCACTACTGTATGTTAGAAAAAAACTTTTCATTTATTTAGAAGTATACACATCTATTAAAATGATTGTATTTTTTTGTGTTTAAAACCCATTTCACAAATGAGAAAGATTCATCCTAACATTTTCACTAAGAGTTGGATTCTTTATAAAGAATTGATTGTGTCCCTTTGTGACCTAGAGTACTTCTTTTACACCTACCTAAGTCTACTAACTTACAATTTGTTGTTGCTATCATTAGTGTTTGTACTGTGATTATGTATTTGCAGCATGTTTGAAGCTCACTGCTCTCCAATTATTGTAATTGTTTCAATTTTAATGCTCTTTGCGTCTTTAATGCTGTGAATACTGGATCTCTTGGAAGCATTCAGCTGCTCCTGATTAGACTTCTTTTAATTCATTCTATTGTCTTGTCTGAAATTTAAATTTAGAACAAACCTACTCCAATGTTCTCTGTAAGAACACAGTGTTTAGTTTGTAAGCTTTTTTTGTATCATTTAGGGGAAAAAAAATTGTTTTTTATTTTGTATTTGAGAACAATGTAGAACATGTACAGGAGATCAATCTGTACTTTTTCTTTTAGCATTTTTTTTTAACCAGGCCTTTGTACTTTTAAGTTAATAATTTTTACTCTGGTAACAGGTAATTACACCTGGATCGCTTTTGAAAATGTGCAATATTTAAAGAATTAGGCTATTTCTTACTGATTATAATTGATTGCTTGCAGATACTTTTGTGAAAACAATCGGAAAAGAACCAGATTTAACTCCAATCTGCACCAACCAAACTTCAAATATCATCATCATGATAGCGTGTAAGATCAGAACAGAGAGGAGCGGCGGAGAGGAGTGCCGTCTGCTGTACAGGGATGGAGGCGACTTTGTTCATCAGTGTGACTCCAGATTCACCCTTAAAACATGGAATGACACTGTGTTTCTGCACCTGACCAATTTAACACCAGCTGATAGTGGGATCTACACCTGTGAGTGTGCAAAATCTCATGGAACGTATATTGTTCATCTCAATGTCACAGTTAAAGGTGAGAACATTCTTATATCGGCTAATTAAAACCTATATAACCAATTTAATTGAATGTCTTTGTTTCTCCCTAAGACCCTCGCCAGGAGGATAATTCAGCAAATGACACTTGCAGCCAATTTGAAGAACTGATCTCTCGTATTGCTTTGACTTCTGCTGTTCTCTTATTTTTAATGATTCCATGTATTTTTAGATTCAGCCTTACAAGATATTGGTGAGAAAACTATTGCCATATCCATAATTTTCTTTTTTTTAAATTTTCATAAAACATTTACCGTAAATAAGACTTCTTAGCACCACTAATGCTGAATTTTACATCTTATCTTTCCCTGCATCTTCTACATGAATTATAGCTTTATTCTTATTGAAAAACAAATTCATTTAATTTGTTTGCCTAGTTCAATACACTAACCTGGAGTTGTTTTCATATTGAAAGGGAATATTTACAATCTGAAGCATCTGCGTCATTTGCACATGGAGCTGCATCACCTAAAGTGAGTAATTGTGATTATTGTATAAGTTGTCATTTTCAGTTGATCATAGCTTACTTTTTTGCATATTACCACAAAAGCAGAACATAAAGAACAGGCATTCTTTAAAAAAAGAAAATTTATCAGTTTCCTCCATCATTCCCATATCTGTACACTCATGCACCCAGTAGTTGTTTTTAATGTAAGCCATAACGGCAGTTGCCCATCCACTAAGTCAATAGTTAGAGGTAAAGTGGTGGATGTTTGTTTACTGGGTGGATCATCAAAATAAGTGTTCCTGTTAATTGTCAATGATTTGTGATGTGTTTACATAAGGCCGTCCTACCTGCTCTTCCCCATTTTCACCTAACTCTATGCTAGGAAATACCTGGCTGCCGAGAATGACCTCCCCTCTCACGCACTGATGAGAAAACAGATAAAATATGAATGAAAATGGAACTTTTAAACATATTCTTAATATTTTCAAATTTCGTATGCATGGATGGCCTAAAATTGAGAGTTTTGGTGGACAGATAAATGCAGAGAAATTCTGGCCTGCAAAGAATGACCTCCCTTGTCGCAGGAGCGTGCATCGGCCTAAAGTCCCACACATTAAGACGAATTGAGATATAAATGAAAAACTAAACGTTTAAACATATTCTTAATGTGTTGACAGAATGATAGCAAAAGCGGGAAAAGCCATCCACTGAGCAGAGAGTATATTCATCGGACACTGACTGTAGCAGATCGACTAAAACTTGTCTCCATATGAGTAAAAATTGGCAGGCAGGTAATTCTCGGCATAACACTGTGAAGAGTCTGATGTAGTTGAAAAATTGCAAATCTTCTTTTTGAAAGAAAGCTTGTTTGAGTGATGCAAACAGCAACTTTGAAACAGAACATGCATGAGGAGAAATGGGCTTGTGCATGCTCTTGCACGTGTTTAATAGGCGTTCCCTCCCTGGGGCAGGTACACGGTTGTGCATGTGCATTTTTTTTTTAAGTGGAGAGGGCGGGTACTTTTAAAAAAAAGTCGTAAAACTTCTCCACTGGACCTTTTACTTTTACCATCTCTGGAGAAGAGTCGTGCTTTGTTTTGGCTTAAATAAACTGCTTGTTTCTGTCATAATGGGCTTTGGAGATCTGACCCACATGCAGGGAACCACTCAGAGACCAAGGGTAAAAGTTAAACAGGTTTATTGAAGGCTAGCTAACACTGATGGAGATTGAAACTCAGTGGGGAAACAATGCTGGAACTCAGCGGACTGGTGAACCGGAACCGGAAACTCTGAAGGGGAGATCACAGTGATCAGTTCAGGGACAATAGGAAAATAAGCCCCATTTACACTACCCTTGAAAAACCGATCCAGGCCGAGACCGCTCCGAGCTTGGATCGGTAACCAGGCCAAGCTCAGTTTTGACGACCGTTCACACGTCACACTTATCTCAGTTATCTCGACTCCTCGCCTCCTAGTGACGATGTGCGGTATTACTGCTAGGATTGAAGGAGGGACTCAAGCAGCTGGTGGCGGTAATGCACCAAACGCTGTTTGTCAACCGCCGTAAAACCCAAGAAGAAGAAGACGAAGGAGGAGGGAATCAAGCAAATCAAAATGGCGGCGCCCGTCACATTCAGAAAGTTATGCTTGATTATTATTGCTGTACTTCCGTGTTTGCGGTGGGTCAGGCGAAGACGGCAACCTTGCGCGGATGTACTTGAGAAAGTCGGCTTTTGGGAAGCCGACTTTCTGGAATGGAGTGTGAATCGGCATGTTCAGCCAGTCGGCGATGACGCGTTCTGCTCATGCGCTCTTGTTATCAGAGAACCGAGCCAGGAAAAAACCGAGCCGAACCCACCTCGGGAACTGGTCTGCAGTTAGCGCGGTCCGGTTATGTCTATCTCGGTTCAGTTCAGGTTGTTTCCGTTCACACACGACAAGTTATCTCAGTTACTGACCTCGGACCGGTCTCGGCTCAGTTTTTTAAGGGTAGTGTAAACGGGGTAATAGACTGAGGCTTGAATATTGCTGGAGAGGCACTCACTTTTGGGGGACTCTTGGTTTATCCTTGGATCCAGTTTGTGGGGGTTTAATCCAAAGTAGAGGGAAGTTGTTGGAGAGTGGACAGCCAGACATACGTTGGACTCAGAGGAGTAAAGGAGCGGACTGTCACTTGGTTTTCCAGGAGTGGACTTGAACAGATCATGTGGAGGTTTTCCCCTTGCCCAGTGAGACTCAGTAATTCCTTCCAGGGGTAGAAGGTCCAGGCTTTTCCAGTAACACAGGAAGTCTTCCTGTCGAAGAACAATGCTAAGGTTAGCCTCTGCTAATCTCAGTTTGGCTTGAGTACCCATTACTGGCAAACACTCTGGCATCGAGGTGGTGACAGCCCGCTGCTCAAGTACTCCTCTGGTAATGACCCAACGAGCCGCAGGTGTGCAAGGAGGCCCAACGAGGACAGGGCACCACCTGGTGGTGGACAGAGGAAAACACAAACTGGAATCATAACAGTATCAGCTCTGACAGATTAGTGAAATAAATCCAACTTTATGCAGCAAGTACTCAAGAAAATAACAAAACAATGGTCTTGTTGCAGTAAGACAGAAGACATCGAGGTGCAGTTACAACATTACATCACACAAGCAATTATAACGGACAAAACAGATATAATTATTACTGTTTTTTTATTGTTTAGGATGAAGATTACTCAGATGAGTTGTACAGAAGTCTTCAACAGCCAACAAGTGATCTCTACCAAACTATCTCCACTGGTCACTGTCAGAATGAATATGAAATTACATCAGCCAGCCACAAAGTAATTGTTAACCTGAATAATGTGGAAATGGAGAGGAATTGTGAAATCTATGAAAACCTTTGAACCAAAATTATGTCTACATAAATAAAGCTTTATGAACATCAGGCCCATTTTCTTTCTATTTTTGTGACAGATATTAATCAGAAGATTACTTGATCTTTTAATTAAATCTATATTCAAAGCCATACTCTGATGTTCCTGTTTGTGTTGACAGAATCAGTCATATTGTTGCATCACAACATTGTGCTATCTAATTTCTGCGGTGCTGCCATATCTGAAAAGATGTGAAAATAATTCCCAGGTCGACCACAATATCAGACCACTGTGTTGCATCTCCAGGGTTACATTATTACTCTTGTCCATAATGCTGAAGATGAATTATTACATCTTTATGTTGATGATGCACTTATCTATTACCATGTTGGCAAAATACTGTATGGTGGCACAGTATTTTTTCAAATAGCTTTTTTCATTTGCATATTTCAAAAAGGAAAAAAAAAATTTTTTTTTTCAAGAACCATAGAAAATTGTTTGTTCCTTCCCCTGCCTTAGATATGATTACAGCAGCATCATTTGAATAAAGTTGTTATTGGTCTATAACAGTGTTTTTTCACCCTGGTCCTCAAGGCACCCTGCCCTGCATGTTTTAGATGCTTTCACACACCTGTTATCAATTGATAGCAGATTATCAGGCTTTGCCTGACTGCAATCATCTGAATCAGGTGTGCTGAACCTCAGAAACATCCAAAACATGCAGAACAGGGTGCCTTGAGGACCAGGAATTAAAAACCCTGGTCTATAAGACACAAAATTTTGGTGAGCCGACATAGATATCAGAGTTGTTAGATATTTTTGAATTACTCTTTTAGGACATCTACCTCTTCATTCTGAACTCCAAGGACTTCAATAGAACAAGAGGAGACAGCAACTACTTCATATGTTCCTCAACCTACATCACATACACATTACAACCTAATATATGCAGAAACTTTTCTAGTTTTTGGGCTGAAAAGAGGACTGATGATGGTAGTTTTACCCATTTTATACTTAAATTATTGTCATTTGACTATGAATACATCTCAATAAATTATAATAGGATATTATCTTTAATAATTTATGATTTTAGTGAAAATAATGCGCTCAAATATATAGTTTATGCATATGTACATGAGAAACATTTTGAACTGTAACCTTCTAGCATTTAATTATTACAACTAATAATAAACATATCAACTAATTAATACATTAGTTTATGGGCAATGAGGCTGTTATCCCACCTGTCCTCCTTCCACTTTTTATTTTGCTCTGCTGCCATCCTGTGGTGGTTTTAAATAGAAGTTTTCTATTATTGATGGTGCACACAAATTTGATATATAAACAAAATACATAATCTATAGCTATATACACAATATAAAACATACAATATACTATTTACAATATATAGTATAAAGCCATATACTATTCCTACTGTTCCATCATCTCCAGCTGCTAGTCCACTGCATCTCTCTACTGGAGAACTTTGTAAAATGCTTCAAGGTTTATTGTTCCTCACAGCCTGGACAAATGTATCCTGGAAAGCAACGCCCACTCGGCCTGGGGCAGATGTAGATATGGGGCCAGGGGTGGTTGTGATACACTAAACTGAGATGCACTAAATTGATTTTTCACTTGTTAGTATACAAACCATAACTTACAACAAAATTACAGAAGTGTATTATTTATTAATAAATCAGTATACTAACATTAAAAAAAACAAAAACAGAACTACTTCGCTTTTCAGAACCAGGTAAAGTTATGAGTCCCTGCAATCATCTATGAATCTTCTATGAAATTAGAGATAAAGAACAGTTGCTGAACCCAGTCATTGTGTTTATTATGCTGGACCATAACAGTTTAGACAACATATATGTATAAATATGCAAGATGATTTATTAGCTAGGTCATTATAACATTTATCATCATTCTTTACTGATTTATTTGAAAAAGAAAGATGATTTGCTCATTTGATTTCTAGTTGTGATGAGTCTAGACTGAACGCAACCTGGTGCACCTCTAAGTACATAGGTGTCCCTGCCTAGCCAACCCATAAAAAAAAAATCTGACTCTATCACTGCACCTAGGAGCTAAAGACAGTCAACATGCCAAATACAAAGCTGGTCAGACACCTCAGTCAGTGTTGCATGTGTTGAATACCATTGCTAATTAGATCCAGAAATCTTTTGGACTTTACTGAAAGTTGCTCTTGATTGTGTTTTGATCAAAAAATCTGTATTTAAGTGTTTTTTCTTATTAGTTATCTAGTAAAGCTTTAATTTTTGCAATATTTTTTTTTTGCACTCTTTCTCTATCAGGAAGAGACACTGTTTGTTAATGTATATAAAACTAAGCAGAACTTCGGGGTGTTTTTTTGAGATTACCAGAGAATAAATGGTAAACAAATTTTAACACAATTTATTTGTTGTTGTCCTTTATGTTGCATCCTTAAAGAGACAGGGCATTAACATCATTGTTGTGGCCCTGGGGTTTGTTTAGCCACTAGCAAATGTGAACAGTTTTGATTTATAACAGTAATTGGCAACTATTAATCATTGGAAAATCACAATAAATGCCCTGGTATTGTTCAACTATCTCAAAAGGAATGTTTCTAGCACTAGTATTTAGAGTCAGCTAATCATAGACCCATAGCACTTAATCTATGTCAAAATTATTGAGTGCAATTTTCATGTTACGGACCATTATTCTATTCAATGCAACACAGGGCGGGTTCTAGGTTATTTGTGCCCCATGCAGTATTGTCTCATTGCATTTGGACACAATTCAAAATTAGCAAGCAACACAGCATATTGTAACATTTTTGTTGCTGTTAGCTTCTTAGAGTACCATATTTTCTAAATGTATATATTCTAAATACCTCTCTTTCGACCCCTGTTTCTTCCTCACCCCTCATTTGCTTTTGGAAAGCTGCTCTGATAGCTTTGATGTTCCTTTTTATTTTTCTCTTTCAACTATTGCAAAGTGCCACACAGTCTGATGTTCTTCCACAGTGCTAAATGTATCATCTACATCACCTCTGATGGTCAAAACCATTGTCAGGGTTGGAGCTGCCTGAACAGGCTGCCATTCAGCCTGAACATTGCAAGGATTTTAAATATTGAGGTATTTTTTATGTGTTTCGGAGAGAAATTTAGGTTATTTATAAAGATTGTATTTCATAGTACATAGATACAGTACATTTAATTATTTAGTTTTATTTCTGCAATTTTTTTGCCTGTCCAGCAGATAGCGGCCCAGGCAGCAGGCTGCGTCACCTGTCGGAAAGCCAAACCTGATACTAGAGCACATAAACTATTTAGAAAAACAAAAAAAAAACAACAACACAAAAAGGGGCACTGCAAATGACAAATCTTGATAATAGCAGACTCTCAACAATTAAGCAATTGATAAAGCTTTAACTTAACTTCAGCAAAGAAAAATCCTCAACCCAACCACCAGGTAGGAAATGAATACAGCTTTTAATGAATTCTGAATATAGCAAGACATTAGCTTCTCGCCTCAGGAGAGAGTAATCAAGGATGACCAAGCTTAGGTAATTCATTTTAGGATGCTTGATGTATAAAACAGCTTACAAATGTTTAATTACAATGAAGGATGTTCTATATGACATTATATTTCATTTTCAACTATAATCTAGATTTTTATTTTAAGCAGGAGATAAGAATGAGATTGATCTTGACTACAGTACCCATCCATATAGCATCATGGGAGATAGTGGATTGGAAAATGTATGGAAGATTTGGGCCCATATGTTATTGGATCACATTGTGAATATATCAGCTCAGGCTCTTATTAGCCTAAGGCTGAATCCCAAACCACCCCTTAGCAACTAACCCTTAACTATCAGTGTCACTCCCAATGAAGTCAGACTCACAGTTATTGCCTTGTCAACACAGTGTCGCCCCATGTGCATGGCTGTAGCTCCAACATAACATTAAACATTGGCCCTTTATTAAAGCAAATGTATATGACCAAATACATACAATAAAGTAACACCTTGAAACTATTGTTGAAGTAGTATTGTTTAATCTGAGATGTACTCTGTGTTACCTGAAGATAAGAATATGGGCTTTCTGTATGGAAGTGAATCTTTAAGTACCTGGGACCGAGCACCTGTAGATATTTGTGAGGGTGCACTTGTGCAGGTAAAGTTTATCCAAAGAAAAACATGCTCAATAGTGGTTGTGGAGAGCCGAAGAGTCCAGCGTCAGGAGACCCAAAGCCCCAGACGCCCAAAGGGACCCCAAGAGCGAAGAGGCCAACCCAGGAAATCCGACCCCCACCAAGGGAGGAGAGACAGCCCCTCAGCCACCGCAATGCCCGAGCCCCCGGGAGCCGTGGGGACGAGTCCGTGGGCTCGGCTGGCAGCCAGCGACCCCGAAGTGCATCCGGCCATGGGCCCCAGGGCTCTGAGGCTCCAGGCCTCCGGAGGTGGGTGGGGTGCCCCTGGAGAAGTCACCAGGACAAGCCACCAGGTATAAGCCAGTAGCCACCCGGGCATCCACCCAAAACCCTGAGCACCACCAGTGCAACGGTGGGCACTGGTGGTGCACTTAGCAGAGACTTGGGATGCTTGGGAGAGGGAGCAGTTCAGACCCCAACCTGAGAAAAAAGAATAACAAAACTCACAGTCTCAATCATGCCTTACCACCCTAATGCCCCCACTCAGACCTCACAGACTCTGTAGAAATGAGCAAAAAAAAAAAAGCGGACACACATTCACACATAATACTTACATCCAATAATACCAGGACCATAGACCCGGCGGCACAGGTGGTCCGTCCTGGATTATCGGATGACCCAATAAGTTAACCTAAGATCTGAATGGGGGAAAGGGAGTGGTGACACCACCACACCAGCCCATCTCGTTCCTGCTTCGAGCCCAGCCCCCCATCCACACCCAGACCAGACCACCCCCAGCAAAAGCTCCCCCGGGATCGGGGCCCACATGCCCCGCACAGCCCAACCAGAGATCCCGCCCTAACTAATTCAGCCAGCCACTTCCTCCCCTCAAATGCTACATACCCTTACCTCCATCCTCCTTTGGCAAGAGCAGAAGTGACAACCCCGGCACTGGCAGGTCACTCAGGCACCGCAGCAGCAGGATGCTGATTTCTTCTCTTACCAGCTAACACTGAAGCTTCTATATGTGAAGACGACAGAGCAAGGGCGTAGGTTTGATCTCAACTTTGGTAGGGACACTATTGGTCTTAAGTTGAATTGGTCTGATGTCATTGGTCCTATTATGCATGCTCCTATTTTTTTAATGCTTGACGTGAGCATCAGGGCACATTTAGTTTAACGAGAAAACAACAAATTTTTCTACATTTATACAAATTTTCTAAGCACTACACACACAAGATGCTGTTTATCAATGTTTGAATCATTAGTGGCTCAGAATAATGTAAAATTGGGACAACCTTACATTTTGAAAAGGGTTACATTTGAACTTACCAGTGACTAAGACAGAAGGTAAATACGTGCCTTTTTAACCAAATATAGTCTAAATATGTCAGTTGTATGTGTATTTATCCGTTTTTTTATTTATTTATCCTTTTGAAGAAATAGAATGGTGCAGAGTAAACAGAGGTAAAACCCACTCTTATTTTGTTTTTAACGGATATACTGATATTCTCTGTACTGTAAAACAAAGCAAAATAACATATTCAAGGGACTGCAAATAGATTTATGATATCTCCATGGGCGCGGGAACTATAAGATGAACTGACACTGAGCATTTAAAATATTGACTTCAATGTACAAGTTGTGAGAAAAAAAGCGACTGCTGAAACAACACTGTATTGTAAATTATAAACATGTTATTCACATAGAATTAATGGTAGGGACAAATAGGTTGGGCCAAAATTTTGGTAGGGACATGTCCCTATGGTCCCTATGCAAACCTACGCCAGAGCAAGACAGAGCAAGCATGACATTTTTAGTCCTATTTAACTACTATTGTTGCCGCAAACCAAGACATGGAGTCCTCCATCTCTGGTGTCTGATCAAAGATCATCTATATCTGTTCATTAAAAATATATTTTCAATAATTTATACAGACAATAGATTAGTGTTTTGATTTTTAAGGAAGTTTTTGACCTTACAGCACAACTGATCTTTGAACATGAGATATTCAGAGATACTTCTAGTTTGTAGGCAGTTTATTTTCTTTACGCGTCACATCCTCTTGTACCATTTTGAGAGATGTCGATTTGAGGTTTGGTTAGCCCAGAGAGTGCAGAGGGTAGTATAGACGACCTCTCTTCAAAGCAGCAAATTAAACTGTTTCAGGGCAGCTGGTCAGATGGATGCACTCAGAATCAACCTTTTATTGCTTCTGCCATGTTTTGCGCACGTCTTTGACAGAGAAGGTAACGTAAAGCGATGAATTAGCTATAAGACAAACTTTCAGCTTCTGTTGATTAAGTATGGGTTTGGATTAGTTTTCTATAAGTTCCACTCTCTGATTCTAATTGTAATTTATTGTGTACAGTGACTGTTGTGAAAACAATTGGAAAAGAACCTTCTTCCACTCCAATCTGCACCAATGAAACATCAAAAATCATAATGGGGATTATGTGTACAGTCAGAACAGGGAGCAACAGCAGCAAAGAGTGCCGACTGATGTACAGGGATGGAGGGACCTTTGTTCATCAGTGTGACTCTAGGTTCACTCTTAAAAGATGGAATGACACTGTGTTTCTGCACCTGACCAGTTTAACACCAGCTGATAGTGGAAACTACACCTGTGAGTGTTCAAATCCTAATGGAACAAATATCCTCCATCTCAGCATCACAGTTAGAGGTGAGAATATTTTATATTTACTGTTTAAAACTTAAATCACGTAGTTAATCTAATAAAAAAATGTTGTTTCTCCCAAAAAGAACTTTTTCAGAATGGTAGTCCAACGAATGAAATTTGGAGCATCTTTGAAGGAGTGATCCTTCCTTCTGCTCTGACTGCTGCTGTTCTGTTATTTATAATAGTTTCAGTTACTGTGATACTTATTCACAGAAGATATAAACACTGGTGAGAAACTCATTAAATATCTTTAGCTTTCGAGTGTACTTAGATAAAACCACTGATCTTAAATGTCCCTCTTGGTTTTTAGCTGCATCATTAGCTTTTAACCCAGTGAGTTTTGCATCTGTGTTTCAAATGCACCTGTTGTCATCTTTTCTTTTTTTATTTGCTTCTGACTTTTTTATAGTGTGATATACATGGTCTATGTGCTATTTTTTTAAATGCAGAACTAGTCAGCATCGATGTTGTTTTTAAATTTCTGCATAAAAAATTTTATATTTTTAGAGACATAAAGAATTTGTTTATCTCCTTAAATAAGTATAGCAGATTCTTTGAATTTGTCTGCTTAGAATGTACCTCAGGATTTTACACCAGACAATAACCTGGATCTCCTTTCATATTAAAGCTCCCACGAGAGAACCGAAGGATCTGGATCTTTACATGGATCTATCACACCTACAGTGAGTTATTATAGCTGTATGAGTTACTCATTTCAGATGTCAGACTTTTTTTTTTGTTCTCTCCTACAGTGAAGACGAAATAGCCAGGTATAACAGACCTTCTTGTTATTTGGCTAAATCTGTCTCAAAACTCTACTTTTAGCTAGTTTGCAGACCATTTAGAGATGAAAGAATTGCATCCCGGCAGTCATAGACCTATCTACTTTCAATATCCCTAAGTCCATCCATCCATCCATCCATCCATCCATCCATCCATCCATCCTAACCTCCTTCAATCAATCATCCATCCATCCATCCATCCATCCATCCATCCATCCATCCATCCATCCTAACCTCCTTCAATCAATCATCCATCCATCTACCTGTCCATTATCTATCAAACCTATCACCATCCATCCATCCATCCATCCATCCATCCATCCATCCATCCATCCATCCATCCATCCATCCATCCATCCATCCATCCATCCATCCATCCATCCATCCATCCATCCAATAGTGTTTATTGATTTGAGCCATATGTTCTGTCACCCAAGCCAGTATTCAAATGAATGAAAGATTTTCTGCTGACTGTTAAAAAATAAAATTTAAAAAAGACAGTGTGTTTCACCTAATTGCTGCTATGAATAAAATAGCTGTTTTGTTCTGCTTTGTGTTTTAGTATATATCTAAATTATAGAGAATAGCTGAAATATTAGCTGGATAATTTTGTAGGGTTCCTTTGTATGTAGGTTTGGATGGCCAGAAACAGCTGTAAACTTTTTTTCTGACACTAAGTCAACATCAACTGTGTCTTGAGAAATGCTATGATTGGTTCCTGCTTAATTAACAATAGGATGACTTTACAATAGAACAGAAAAAAATAACATTTGATGCAGCAAGTACTCTACAAAACGGCATAAAGATGTTATACTCAGAGGAAATCCAAACACACGCACCTAACTGTTACAAAAGCATCAATATTAGGCTTGAAACTGCAAGAAAAAAAAAACATTTGTCTTTGGTTTTGAATGATTAGTGTTGATAGTCTACTGTTGTCCATTATTTAAAAAGTTTGAAACTTTCTTTAAATGCTTTCTCCCCTCAAAGAAACAAAAATATTTTATTTCTATTGTTGTTGTTGTTGTTTAGGATGAAGATGATGTACTTGTAGATGATCTGTACACAAGTCTTCAGCATCCAACAACAGACATCTACCAATCTGTGTTGTTTGGTCACCATCAGCCAGAAGCCTATGCAACCTCAGCCACCAACAAAGTAACTAATCACATGGAAAATCTGGAAGTGGACAGTGATTCGGAAATATATGAAAACATTTGAGCCAAAACTGCACCAAGAGGAAAATTGATGAACGTTTGGCTGAAGCTTTATGTTGACATTCCTCATCATTTTCACAGGACAGGGGACAGCTGCTGGTCAAATAGCAGAACTCATGCAGATTGCTCAAAGATGCATGAATTGAGTGAAATTGCACTTTGTGCAAGATTTTGATAGATAGCATTTTGCATGATTATATGGGCTTTAGGATAAGATGAGATACGCCAGTAGAAGATAAAAGACACAGATAGACTAGATAAAATAATATAGAAAAATATATAAAAACAAATATCTAAAAGTGAATAAGATTATGTATTATGATTTCGTACATATATGCATCTGCATTGCATACATGCACTACATAAATTTAAAAGCATATATACCCACATGCATATAAACAATTGCAAGCAATAAAAGATATAGCACTTTGCAAGATGGGGATTTTATCCTCTTTCTATCAGAAATCCTTAATTTGTCCCTTATTTTTTACATCTCTCCTTTTTTTCTTTTATGATTTTCATGTGATGTAATATTAATTAATACTGTATAAAAGAATATCATACCATGACAGTCTTTTAACTGTTATGGTTATTCTACTGTTTAGGACAGTATATGTTCATGTTTACAGATACTTGTGTCTTTTGCTGTATCTCTTGGATTATTGTTGCATGTTTTTTTTTCTCTCTGAATGTGAACATGTTGTTGTGACAAACTGAGAAGCAGTGTGGGCCATAATCTGTATTAAACCACAGGATGCTATATTTCTGTACCAGCTTGTATTTAAGCTTCTAAATATTTAAAGTCCAAACACCTAACATGACATTTTTAACCTTATTCTTACTAGTCCACAATTGTAGCAGCAAACACGGTATAACGCCGTCCATCTATTGTGTTTGTTCTGATGCTCCAATACATAAAAAAGTGTTAATAATTATTAATATGAATAATAGTTGATTCATGTTTTAGGTTAACTTTTGACCACACAAGACTATTAAACTGTATCGATGAGATCTGCAGAATTACTTTCACTTTGTACGTTCTACTGTTTCAGAGAGAAGCATTTAGACATGTTTCCTTTTTCAGAAAGCTTTCACATCCTCTTGTAACATCTATCGAGATGACAATGTGTGGTTTAGTTAGCTTACAGTTCAGAGGGTAGTTTAAAGTTTTCTCTTTCAGCATAGCAAACCCTCACAGGGCAGCAGATCAGATGGATGCAACGAGAATCAGCCTTTTACTGCTTCTGCCATGTTTTGCATGCTTTTTGGATGGCGAAGGTAACATAAATTGGCAAATTTCTCTAAGCTGTATTTTGCGTTAGTATAAACTTTTAGTCTCTGTTTGTTAAGTGTAACTAAATCTAAAAAAGCTTTTGTTCTCATTAATTTACACTGATTAGAATTGACTGCTTGCAGAGACTGTTGTGAAAACTGTTGGAAAAGAACCAGATTCCACTCCAATCTGCACCAACGAAACCTCAAACATCATCATGATGATAGCATGTAAGATCAGAACAGATAGGAGCAGCAGCGAGGAGTGCAGTCTGCTGTACAGGGATGGAGGCGACTTTGTTCATGAGTGTGACTCCAGGTTCAGCCTTAAAAAATGGAATGACACCGTGTTTCTGCACCTGACCAGTTTAACAGCAGCTGATAGTGGGAACTACACCTGCGAATGTGCAAAATCTCATGGAACAAATATCCTACATCTCAGCATCACAGTTGAAGGTGAGCACATTTTTACCTTATATTGGTGGTATCGAACTTATATCATTTAGGTACTCTAAATCTTTTTCAAACCTCTTTTCTTAACCTAATGGAGCAGAAGATGTTTGGAGCGGTTTTACTCTTCCTTCTGCTCTGACTGCTGCCGTTTTGGTGATGATCTTACTTGTGGGTATTCTAGCATTTCTCCAGAGAAAATTTTACCATCGGTAAGAAACTATTGTTATATCCATATTTTTCAATTCAATTCAATTCAGTTTATTTATATAGCGCCAAATTCACAACACATGTCATCTCAAGGCACTTTACAGTTCAACCAGATCATCAGTCAAATTGATACAAAGTTTTCTATCTAACACAGATTTAAAAATGTGTATTTTAGAAATGACCTTATTTAAAAAAGGATAAATGTTCTACTATTTGATGAAAACTAAAGAAGGGAACTGGTGCACTGCCAGAGATTTTAATTTATACTTAAGTGTATAAAATAGAAGAGGGTATGAACTTCATTCACTGTCTTACAAAACAGGAAATGGTAATTATCTCTATATCTGTATTTGATATAAATGTATTATATTTCTCTGCAGAGAGCAACCAGAATCATGTAGCCATCATTCAAATGAGGTATGTTACATACAAATATAAGAGTATCTTTTATTTTATCATAATTGTTGGCTTGTTTACTTATTTCCTGCACGTCTTGCTTTGCAGGATTTTGCTGAAATTGAGCCGTACAGCATTTATACTCAGAAAGAAAATGGATTTTATTCAACAGCTTTTTTACAAATCTATGAAAATGATTCCGACAACGAAAATATGCCCACTTGAATGAATACTTTTGAGGATAAAGCACCTCTTTCCACACACTAAATAAAGACATAGAATCTCTCTTTTCCTCCTCACTGTCTGACATTAAATTAATGAGACTGAAGCTCTTTGGATTCAGGTCAGTCAAAATTTATAGAAAAGCACAGGTGAAGTCATAGATTTGTCAGCTTCTGAAAAGTTATTTAGAAATTCAAAATACATCCTGCATTTAAGGCATACCGTTAAGACACGCTTCCCTTCTTACATTTACAAATAAAAAGGAAGATATGAAATACAAGAAAGAACATTTTAAATAAATTGGCATTATCCAGGGTGAAACGACTTCTGCATGCATATGGACCAAAAGGCTACAAAGTCAAGAAGAAAAAAAAATACAGCCAAGCTCAGGGACTGAACATCAACTTTGGAGTAATTTCCTCAGTCTTTAAAAGCTAAAGTTAAATGCTGTCATGCTGTGAGAGAGTTGTGTTGCAGGAGGGAGCAGTGCACTTTATTAGCAAGTGAGCCATGTTAATGGCTGTATATATTCTGAAACAGTCCTTGTTTTTTTGTTTTTTATATAACTTGTTTCCTAAAGATAATCCAACAGATAAGTTCTGGAGCCAACCTGTAGGAATTGCACTTCCTTCAGCCTTAACTGCTGTGGTTCATATTTATTTATATATATATATAATAATTTATAAAACAAGTAGGTTTCTGATTTGAAATGAAAGGTAGGTCTGATTTGAGCTACATGACATGACAGTAAGGTATATTAATGATATGCCTCCCACTGCTTCATCTGTGTTCTCAGCTCTATTGAAATTCATTAAGTTTGTTATTTTGCGCAGAACCCCAATAATGCAGTTTTTTTTTTTTTATTGTTGCAGCATGGGAATAATAGAGAGGCTCCTTATTATTTACCTTCTGTTTATTTATTTATTCTCTAAAGAAAACAACCATTGGGCACTGTTCCTAAAGGCTTAAGCGCCTCTCCCCAGAAATAACTTTGTTAATTAAAACTCAACTTCAGTGCCACAGATTTTATCTTTATATGAAGGGTTCAATCTGACAAACTCACACAAAGAGAAGAGTCTTTGGCGCTCAGACCACGGCAGGAAACATGGAGTTTATTTTGATAGATATGCATGAACAGGAGCAAAGAATAGGGCTATTTCCCCCAGGCCTGAAACTGGTGGTGGAGTGGTTAGCGAGACGGTATGCTGAGTTTTATGGGGAGATCCAGTGGACTGCGTGAGCTGATACTAGAGATTCACTCAGGAACCTGGAAGATGAAAGTCCAGTTGGATAACACAGGTTGAGAGAACCTGTCCATGATGAGCAAGAATAAAGCGACAGTGGAGAGGAAAAACTCCCTGTTGGGAAGAAACCTCTGGCAGAACCAGGCTCAACATGGTGGTCTTCTGCCGTACTGGTTGCAATGAGACAGGGAACGCAGTAAGAGTCCAGGAGGAATGACACTCTGATGAAGCTTTAGCTACAATGGTGGAGGAGCGGCTGGATGTGGGTTGAAACGGTGTCATCTGAATGAAGTCACACAGTGCCTCCTTTGGATGCCCGATTGGCTTTCTGGGAGGTTTGGTTCAAAGCTGATTAGCTGTGTCGCAGGTGGATGTAGAAAGCAATGATTAAATACATTTTGATTATTTATGCACCTTGTCTTTTGAAATCTGGTTGAAACATGCAGCACTTTTTTTATAAGAGGAAAATGCTTTATTCAATTTTCGACTTGTTGCAAAGCTATAAAATGAAACTTTAATACAAAAATCTGTGGTGAAATTGATACGTTTTAAGATGGTTTTGTGCAGATTGCATGTATATATTTTATTTTTACTGCATTTTCAAGTTTTCAGAGTGATCTTTCTGTCTGATGTGAATTGAGGGTCTATCTGTTGCCAAACTGAAAATTACAACAATTAAGGAAGGACGATAGTTACTCTTGTAATAAAACCCAACTTTCTTCAGTGTCATCTGGTGTTTTCTTTTTTGCTAAGGTGAACATTACAGAGACACTTTTCTGAGCAACGTTTCTTGGTAGAACAATGCCTTCCGCTTGTGGCCTGGAGGCTCACCAAAAAAGTGAGATCCATGTACCTCAAGTGATGTTTTCAAAAAGTTTTCATCTTACCAGTTTGCTGACCCTCTTCATGCACCTTGGAAGTTGGTGAAGTTGTCCCAGAAATCTTTTTCTTTTTGGACATAACTGACATGAAACCAAAATATGGATGCTAAAAGCTGCAATTAATCATAATGAGGCTGATGAATTTTATATCATTTTTTTTGTATATTTCAAAAAGTTAATTTAAAACTTGTTTAATTCTTTATTATTCCCTTTAAGGCTTTTGAGAATTCTTCACCTGCTACTAATAAATAATGACAAATTAGAACTTCTGCAGTTGCATTTCCGTTTTCAGTTGATCATAACCTCACGTGCTATTTTTAAAGGTCGAACAAATTGTGGTTTAGGTAACAGCGCTGCAGTTGAGGAAGCATTCACAGCAAGGGTTTCACTGTTGCTTACACAATACTTATATTCACTTTATAATTTTTCTCTGACTTTTTTTTTCTCTTTGGACATTGAAGGTAAAACTTAAAACTTTATTGAAATCTTTTAATAAATTGTGATCTATACACTGTACCATATGAGGAGGTTGGATTTTTGTAAGATTTTCCTTTTCCTTTACCAAGCACCGAAACAAACTTATATGAAACACATATATTGCATAGAATCTAGATTCTCTAGAGTTTTCACCTTTTGTTTTAAAAGGTGGCTTTGCTCATTCTTCATATTTTCTCAAAAAAACATCCTGAATGTACAGTAACCTGAACAGGTTTAGGACTAATTTAAACCTTGTCAGGAGTTTGTCACCTTAAAAAAAAATGTCACCAATAAGTTTTACAAAGGGGGTGTTGGTGACACAGTCTTAATAGAAAGACTTTCGACTCTTGCAAGCTAATTTTACCTCTTTTTTTATCAACTTTATCAAAATGATATCTCTACATGATAGGAAATACATATAATTTGGAAGTAAGATGATGAGACTTAGTCCAAAGTTTCATCCGGTACTACTGTATATATAAAACCAGATATTTTCACTGGCATCACAATCATACTAAAGGTTTTGTGACCCGTTCCGTCCCGGAAGCACGATCCGTACCATCAGCTCATTTACGGGGGCGCAACCAGATATGCATCGGGGTTTGCATAAATAATATAATTATGGTATTAAAATAACTTATTTCTATCCTTGACTCACTAAAAAATGCTAATACACATCTTTAAAAAATGTTTCATGACTTTTCTGAGACAATTTTGATGCCTTTTACATTTTCTCTGTTAAACTGCTTGTCTGACGTTATCAGTAGTCTGGCAAAATATAATTAAACCATGTTTACCAGCATTTCTTTAGATTAAGAACTATATACCATAATGTTCTAAGAGACAGTGATAAAACAGAAAGGATTTTTATGTATTTATTTTCCCAGGAAATACATTATTAAGCTTTAACGAATTATAGTTTAGTATACTTACTATTTTTGGGAAGGAAAAATGTAATTCAGGTCTTTTTTACAAAATAAAATGGAGGGTGATTCCGATATATATCTGGTTGCACCAGGGGCGCAGATAGGTTTTTGAAACTGTGGGGGACAGTTACTATAGGGCTTGGTCATCGTGACGTAAGCACTTTGCGTCGCCGCCATGTTGAATGCGTCTTTTACCGCAGCTCAGACTACTGCCTATGACTACCGCGTACTGTACTCCCTCTCAGCCGTGTTTTAATTTGATTAATTTCACCTTAACTTGATTTCAACCATGGTAAACCGTTGCTGTATTGTGGGCTGTAACAGCTCAACACATGATCGCCATGGAAACATAGAAAATGGGTTAACTTTCCACCGCTTTCCTGAATGGAGGGGTAACCATGAAGACCAAGCGTCAGAGATAAAGAGTCGTCGGCTAGATTGGATCGCGGCTGTAAGATGACCGAACATAACTTTCCACAGTATTCCAATGTCATTGAGAGTGTGTTCACTGCATTTTCATTCTGGTAAGTTAAAGATGCACGGTTTTATTTTATAGCCTACTTTGTTTCTTTCCTTCAAAGTTGGGATCTTTTACGGGAAAATAATAAAAACGGCAGCGGGAAAAGGCTCAAATACGCGAGAAACCCGGAGGGTTGGCAGTTAACGTTACTAACTACACCTTTGAAACACATAGCAGCTAGTTAAAAGTATATTACATGCGTGAGTGGTTGTTAGCATTAGCAGTTAGCAGTTGCTAAACTAGCAGGTTCCAGAGCCCGTCTGGTCACAGCTTACCTTCGTACGGATTACTGTGTTCCCACTGTTTGCTGGCTTTATGATCTGCAGCTCCTGAACCTATTCATTCATGAACTGCACATGAGACTCCAAGGACTTGTAGCTTCGGAACTGTTTTGAAGTATAGGCGCTCACTCTTCGGTGCTCCACTCATTGTTTGGAACTTTATATGGATCCAAATGATTAATAATGCTGATTTTGTCACCATACCGGTCCCTGGCTTCTCTATTTAATGTGTCCCGGTAAATTCCAGATCCTTTTCGGGATTTTAACATCTTTTTTCTCTCTACTTCTGTCTCTTCTTTCAACAACAACGTTGTGTCAGAGCTATGCTTACGTTTGCGTAGCAGTCAGTATGGCTGCGACGTCCCACAATGCAACGTGGATCCCGAGCCCTATTACTGGCTATTACTCAGCTATGACAACCCATCAATCTTAATTGCCCATCATTGCAAGAAAATAACATGTATTGGTACCAAGTACTCACCAAACATGCCACATGACGTGTGAAAAAAAAAAGGTTTTATTTAAACATGGACTGACTTTAAGTGCAGGCTGTAAACACACAGAAACACGAACAGCAAAGCCTACATATATACAAAAACAAATTTGTAAATAAGTACTTTACATGGCTTTTCAATAAATGGCCTCAAATGAAGAAAGTTGTGTGTCTACTTTGT